CGTTTCTAGTAACAGCGAGCAATTGAAAGGGGTTCAGAGCTAGTGCACGTTCCATGCGTGACAGATTTAGCTGACTGATTTCTAAGCCTGATTTGGTTTCGCGTCGTCTTGATTGGCCAAAGACAGCGGGGACGGCCAAGAATGACCTGGCGTGATTGTCTCGAAGGATCTTGCTTCATGCTTGGGCTACCTTCTGCAGAGTTTACACGCTGGCACAAAATCAGAAGCGGTCGATACAGAATATGAAGCTGCTACTTCCATATCTCGAAAGGACTGAATCATCGGCTGATCGGTTTGAATTTGTTTTAAATTACAACTATGTACTACACTGATGCAATTCGTACGTATTCTGTTATTGCAATATGCCGCAATCTGAAGGAAGACAAAAGAAGATTTTTCGACCGTTGGGAAGTTGGAATTCCTTACATTTTCATTATTAGGGGCTTCTTGTGGCCCCCTTCTTTTCCATGAAGTTTTGTGAGAGCGAGTTCAGTTTCTGCTCCATCAGTCAGCAGTCTTCATATTTTTAAAATGCAGAATCAACGACTGTGTGGCATGCGTAGCAAGTCTCTTTTCTTGTTTCCACAAGGTAGCACACTCTGTAATGAACTTCGGAAGGAAGAAGGGTCAGCTACCCGACCCGAGCTCGAAACCGAGACCTCTCCGTTCCAAGTCGGATGCTCAACCGACTGAGCAAACCTTGTCAGGAGAATCCATTTCCTAGAGACTCAGTTGTACATCGTATTGAGAACCCGTTGTCATCGTCCTGCCATGTTGAGGTAATGGAAGTATGACTTAGGAGTACTATGTCTCGATAAATCAGGTCATAAATATCATTCCGTGCATAAACGTTTAATTACCATAATTTTTAAGGTGGTTGGTCGTGACGACATTCGAGTGCTGCTCGGCCCGCAGGGCTCTGCCATGTTTCGACGAGCCAGAGTTCAAAGCCGTCTTCGGTTTAACCATGATACACCCAGTAAACATGGTGGCGCTGTTCAACAACGAGCATCTGTATTCCGTCGACTACGGGTAAGACGTTGCACAGCTCGAATATGTCGTAGAGTCGATAATCAACATGGCGACAGTGTGTCGCCGAAGATAACGTTTATCCTTGCGGATAAAAAGTGAGCAGAGATTATTTTGGAAGTGATTCAAATCACCCAGTGATTTTGCATAGCCTTCTTAGCCCTAAACAGTGCTCAGCAGGACACGACGTGCCTAGCCTTACTTCTGTTTCTCCTGGCTTCAAGATCTGCCAGCTTATTCTAAATATTCAAATATCAGCAGCCTTGAACGTACTGCTCAGCTCCGTATCATTTCCTCTTCCTCTACTTCTTCTTCTCCTTCTGCTTCTACTTGTTGAGGAACTCCATTCGAGGTAGCAGCAGTGATGCTGCCTCTACAATATGATAGGTTAGGTTAGGTGGACCGGTACCAATGGACCGATAGCAGATGTTTATGTCTTTGCTTCATAACTTGGTTCAGGTTCGCAATTATGCTTCCCATAACGATCCTCTTATCTCCGACGCATACACGAGTAATATTTAGTAAATCATTACATTTTTCCATCACGTAAACACACAGTCTGTTTTAACTTTTGGTAATAACCATTCTTGTAACGTGCAATACATTGAAGAGATGCAAAAAGGACTGACCAATAGACCCAGAACGACTGATTCCATGCACACGCAAAATGTGGTTAATCTCTCCCTCCGCCAAAAGGGAACTCTGAGGGCTGTCAATCCCAGGGAATCTCTGAAAGGTATCGACATCTCGGGTCGTATCCAAGGGGTTACTCTCAAAGTAGAGGTACAGCTAAATAACATTTTGGCAACCACTGCGAAAAGGCTGATCCAATCGCTGTACCGTTCATATTTTCTGTTGGCACTGTCGCATGGCTGAACATTGATGTCTCTTTTCGACAATTTCCTATTCTTATGATGCAGGCACACTCTGCAGAAAAGTGTCTTTCCTGACTATGCAAAATAACTCGTTTTTATGCCATTTTGCAATACCACTACCTGAGTAGTCAGAGGAACATTCTGCATAAGTGCCTCATGGTACAGTTTTGCCTCAGAAGCAAGCAACTATTCTGAAAGAAGCTGACAACGAAGGAAAAGATGATCTACGACACAGAAGAAAATCTGCAGGAAATGACTTCGACGTATGAAGGAAGATTATTCACTATGAATTTTGTTTAAGCTCAAGACACTTCTGTGACCTCAAATCAACTGAGTGTTTACCCTCTTCTCCCAATATGAGGCCCCTGGTCATTTTACAACCATTTTGTCATAAGATTATGAAGATGGACATGCAAACTTCACGCAGTCACGTATCGACAGTTTCAGTTCAGATGAGACGAGGCAGTGAACGTGTGCAGACAGTGGATTGGGCTTCAGTTTGAGAACCAACTGGCTACCTTTCCAAGGAACCAGATCACT